CGCGCGGGTTGAGGAGGAGCCAGCAGGGTCGTGGGCGGGGTGAAGGGCGGAGTGCCGCTGGGATCTAGCGGCTTGCTCAAGGCCGGACTAGGGAAGAGGGCGCTGTGGGGCCGTTGGGGAGAACAGAGGATGCCAAGGAATCTCCCTAACCCACGGTCGCAAATCTTCTCCCGTTTTCTGTAAAAGTTAAAAAATTCTAGATTTTTTTTTTTTCCTGGGGATTGAACCTAGGGGCAATTGGCCACTGAACTACATCCCAAGTCTTTTTTTTTTTTTTTTTGAGCCAGTGTCACTACATTGTTTAGGTTGGTCATGAATTTGTGATCTTCCTGTCCCCCTCCTCAGTTGCTGAGTTTACAAGCGTGCACTACCGCACTTGGTACATTTTAGGTTTTGTATTTGGATTAAGGATCCAATTACAGCTAATATTTTAGTAGATGTTGCAAGAGTAGATCTTAGGTCACCGTTTTGTGTCTGGCTCTGCATTGGCATTTGTTGAAAGATTTCTCCTTTTCCCACATGGGAACTTCATACTGATGTAAAAAAAATCAGTTGTTAAAAATGAAGAGAAAGAAAGGAAGAGGAAGGAAGGAAGGAATAATGAAGGTAAGTAAAGGCAGAGAAAGGAAAGGGAGGGAGAGAGCAGGGGGAGGGGAGAGGAGTGGAAGGGAGGGGAAAAGAAAAGAAAGCCCGGTCTTGATTCTTGTACATTCAGAATGAGTCTTGAAAGCAGATAGTATTGCCCTTCAATTTTATTCTTCTTTTTCAAAGTTGTCTTGGCTCTGGTAGAACCCTAGTGTTTTTATGTGAACTTTAATGAGCTTGCCATTTTAGATTAGAACTACATTGAATCTGTGGAACCATATGAGAATAATTTACATGGTAACATATTGAGTCATATGGTTTGAATGAAACAAGCCTTTCCTTTTATTCATGTGTTATTTCTGCCCATAATATTTTGATCTTTTATCAGTTTAACCCCCTGAACTAGGTGCGGTGATGCATGCCTGTAATCCCAGCATCTCTGGAGCCTCAGGCAGGAGATTCCACGTTCAAGGCCAGGCTCAGCAATTTAGACTATAGTTTAGTGGTAAAGTGCCTCTGAATTCAATCCTCAGTCCTGGAGGCGGAAATTATCCCTAAATCTAGGGGTTTGGGAGGAAAACTACACTTTTTTATGCTTTTCAAAGTGGCATTTAAATTTTTCATTTTCTGTTGGTCTTTGCTAATATAGAGAAATGCATTTAAAAAAAGAATTAGCGGTAGATGGGCACAATACCTTTATTTGTTTATTTTTATGTGGTTCTGGGGATTGAATCCAGTGCCTCATGCATGCTAGGCAAGCGCTCTACCACTGAGCCACAACCCTGGACCCTGCAACTGTTTTTTTGTAGTAGTTGTTGTTCAGCATTGATGTATCTGCATTTTGTAAAAACCACCTATGAATTCTAGTGGGAAGGCTATTCCGTGGGGAAAAAAAATGATTTTTTAGTATTAAGCCAACTTTGTTTTTTTGAAAAAATTCCAACTCATTCATGATGTATTATTATTATTATTATTATTATTATTATTATTATTATTATTATTATTATTTTGTGTGTGTGGCACTGGTGATTGAACCCAGGGTTTTGTGCATGCAAGGCAAGCACTGTAACAACTGAGCTATATCCCCAGCCCTGTATTATCTTTTTATATGTTATTTGCTAATGTTTTGTTTAAGACTTTTTGCATGTTATCTTTGGGGTATTCATGTAATTTTTTGTTTGCTGGTGTTTCAGGTTTGTAATGTGTTTGTCTTATTTTATTATCAGGTAATGCTAACTTCACAGAATGAGTCAAGAAGTTTTCCCTTCCTTTTGATTTTCTAGAAAAATTTAAAATTGAGGTTTCTTTCTTAATTGTTATAATTTACCTGCAAAGTAATATTAACTTGGCATTTCCATAGTGGGAAAATTTTAGCTACAAACTCAAATTCTTTGAAAGATAAGTGTCGTTCAAACTATCTATTCCTCTTTTTTTTTTTTGTTCTTATTCCAAAATACTCCATTTTGTTCTGGAAGTATCCTTAGTATAAAAAAAACACACTAATTAAGCAATAATGATTTCACCTCAGACCACTTATTTGAAATAAATAACCTCAAAGAGTGAAAGTGTTGAAGACAGTTGACCCCACTCTTTTCATTAATAGCCAGGAAATGACCCAAACCAAAATCATTATAGACAGTCCACATCAATTTTCAAGAAATGTTTGGACTAAAGGGTGACATGGCATTTACAAAATTCTAAGCAACATACCAGGTCAGGAGCATGGTATCAAAATATGTTGACAGAATCATAATTTTTCATGGAATTATAATGAATTCAGGATCATGGATAATTTTTATATTATTTTATGTGAAGATTTTTAATTTATTATTATTATTAATTTGTCAATATACATTCACTCAATAAAACAGTGTAATTCGATCAATTTCATTCCCCAATCCATCCCCTTTCCCTTCCATCCCTTCCCCTATTCCCCTTCATTCTACTTTTAAAGAAACACTTCTATGTTTCTGATGATTTTTAAAAATTTTAATATTTATTTTTTAGGTGTAGATGGACACAACACAATGTCTTTATTTCTATGAGATGCTGAGGATTGAACCCGGGTCTCCCCGTGCTAGGGGAGCCCTCTACCGCTGAGCCACAATCCCAGCCCCCCCCCCTTTTTTTTAATTTGTTCTAATTAGTTATACATGGTAGTGGAATGCATTTTGTCATGTTGTACACAAATGGAGCATAACTTCTCATTCCTCTGGCTGCACATGGTGCTGAGTCATACCAGTAGTGTAATCATACATGTATATAGGTAATAATGACTGTCTCATTCTACTGTCTTTCCCATTCCCATTGCCCCACCCCTCCTCTCATTCCTGTTTAAGTCTACATAATCCAAAGTTCCTTCATTCTCCCTCCCCCACCCACCCGCTATGGATCAGCATTGTTTATCAGAGAAAACATTTGGCCTTGGGTTGTTTGGATTTGGCTTATTTCACTTAGTATGATATTCTCTAGTTCTATCCATTTACGTGAAAATGCCATAATTTCATTCTTTATGGCGGAGTAATATTCCATTCTGTATATGTACCACATTTTCAAGCAGCAGGAAAAGATAATTCATTGAAATTCAATATCAGACAGTCAGAGACTCTTAGATGTTGGGAGCCACTGGGACAGTAGCTATATACACACCTTTTAAGTCCTGGGTACTGAACGGGTATTGCACCCGTTGCAATGCAACTGGACTTTACCTCCACTCAGATGAAAGGTACAGCTCCAAGAGTGGGCATCACATAATGGGGTTGAATTACACCCGCGTGTTTGTTGTAACCCTACCCTTTGCCCTTTTTTGGATAGAATGTTCCATGGATTAGCTCCTCCCATTTAATAAAACCCAGGTTTGAGGAGTGCTCCTCCTCCTTTCTTGCCTGCCTTGTCCTCCTTTGGGGAGTTGTGGCTGAGGAGCAGTCACTGAACCCAAAGAAAAAGGTATTTCTCTTTGTGTGATTATTTCGTATCAGTTCTAATTCACTTGGAGTGACCCTGATTGATTTAGTCGCGTGAAGCCGCACTTAGAGACCCATAAATTCAGTATATTGAAAAAAGAATAAGAAAGAGTGTATTGGATTGAAGCCAGTAGCAGCAGTGACAGCAGGACCAGTTAACTGCAGAAGTGAGGGATAATAACAGAAAGAAATAATGGATCAATTGGGCATGGAGCAACTGTCGGACAGAAAAGCAGGCTGAGCTTAGCTGAACCAGAGGTTGTACAATGAGCTGGTTGGTATTTGAAAAGTATTGAGTTTCTCAACTGGTAAATGGAGCTGAAGCAGGAGCCATCAAGAGGCCACTCTGCAGTTTGTTCCTATGGAAGCCTGTGAAGTCATAGCAAATATTGCCATGCTGTACAGGCAAGCACCTACTGTGTGGCTTAGGATGTACCTAGCAGAGCACAGAGGTACAGACGCACAGAGGATTGTACCCAGCAGGATTCAAGTCAGAGATATGCTGGTGAGAGCAACTTGCTTTCCCTTTGAGTCTGATGGCTCACATAACCAGTTGAAGAGGGTGAGGAAACTGAACAGGTGGGCATGCTTTCACTCTGGAATTCTGTACACTGAATCTGGAAGGCCACATTTTTGGGTAATAGAGTGTGTAAATCTGTGGAGTGTTGGCTCCTCTTCCCTTCTAGTAGAATTCTCAGGAGATCCCTTGAGATGCAGATGGGCCTCTACCTGGCCCAACAGGTGTGTTCATCTAATCTCTCCAGAGCAGGTACCACCCAACAAAGTTCCAAAGGCTTGATTAAAGCCAAACCTCAACTGCCAGAAGTTTCCATGTAGAACTCTGTAGCAGTCCTACCCTGGGAGCACTTTGATTTAGTCTGTCCAGACAGAACTCCAAATGATAGTACTTCCTATTCTGTTCTTCCTTATAATTAGTGAGAAGGGAAACTGAGAACTATTTCAGCCAGCTGTGACTCCAGGTCACTCTAGCTGGCAAGTTGGTGAGCAACACAAACAGAGCCAAAGTTTAACAACTTCCAGTCTTTGCTGGAGGTTCATAGCCCCAGAAGAAATGGAAAGAAGGGTAGTCTGGCATAGTGAGTGAACACCCATTTTTGTTAACAGTTTTCATAACCTGAGCACAGCAAATTCATTTTTCATTAAACCCCACCACTACCACCAACACCAGGGTTCATGCTGTGCTGATTGGTTTTGTGGATGTACATATGCATATTTGTTTCTTTTTTCTTCTTTATATTTATTATTTTTGTTTTCTGAGGGTTAGGGGTTTTATTTTTCTTGTTTGTATCTTATATAAAGGGCGTTTGTGCTTTC